CTGCTTCTGGCTTTACTGACCCCATGGGTGCTGGTTAAGCAGTCCCTGCCCCACCTCCACTCAGTGTGCGCATGCTGCTGTGCCAGGCGGATGGCGTGGTGGGTTCGTAAGCCATGATGCTGTGCTTAAAATGATGCTGAGCATCACTGGAAAGAGAGTTACATTTGCACATTGCTGCATTTTAAAACATGAAGCAAATATTCATGTGGACCAAGCTAGGCAGGGTGCTTTGAAAGACCACAGTGCATTCACACTTATCCTTGCTTTCCTGCTCAAAAGGCATAAAAACTCTCTTAAATTCATGTGTGTGGAGGCCCTTGGTTTTACTTCTCCTATAGATCAAAGTCAGCATTACATAGCCGCAATTTCAGAGCTGAATTCAAAAACTTGAGGTTGTTCAGAGCTAGATTTAACACTGTCTAATGCTAAAGGCATGTAAACAGAATACAGACTTGGACTGAAGCTTGTCCCAGGGTGTTTGCTGGTTTCTGGCCATTGCAGAAATGAGTGAGGTAGTTGCAAAGCATGCAGGTAGAGCTCAGGAGCTATTTTAGCTTTATCTCTGGTTAGTATAGGGCATGCACAGGGCATTTCAAAAGTACAGCGGCAGATTTTAAAGGCACGAAGTTTCCATCTTGCAGAAGCAAGGAATGACATTAGCCACAACACATCCTTCCCTGTGAAGTAGGGGACAAGAGCTGGCATAATAAACCACAAGGGACTTCACAGTGCCTTTCAAACCTTCTTCCAACCCTGCAATTTCTGCATCCTAAGAATAGTGCATTAGCACATGTTGGTTTTCTTGTGGCGATGGGCGTTAAGACAAAGCAGGGCTCTGATGTTTAGCTGAACACAGGGTTAGGCACTCAACATCACTTTTTTTTTTTTCTCATCCCACTCACAGTGGTAAAAATACCCCAACATCCATCTATGGGACATGGTCATGAGAGCATTTTGGGGGCAGCTGCAACTGCTGTAGGCATTAAGCAGTTATCTTGTTGTTACAGACTCCCGGCACAAAGCTGGTGGGAGGGACAGTGTGTGTCACTGTATCATGTTGACTGACATATCTGCAGTGGAGCAAGTTAAGGGTCTGCCTGGGCCCTAAGCGAGATTTCACCCAGCATCTTTCTTGTCTTTTGTCTGTACAGGACCAGAAGTATTCTGTAACGATGAAACACAACTGAGCAGTAGTATGGAGGCCTGTCCCATCAAGAGATGGTAGCAGTTGAAGGGTTGGGCATGTCCCCAAGCTGTAATACAGAGAGATCAGAGACAGTGCTCTGTGTGGGAAGGTTGGAGATAATATTTAGTATTTACTCTTCAGCTGACCAGACTGAGTCACTGAGTGGTAAGATGAGAAGAGAAAGAGATTCAAAGTAAAAATTGAGTATGTACTGCAGGCTTTGGACTGGCTCCATTGTTTTCTGAGTGGCAATTCCCCAGGAGCCATTCACTCAGAGACCTTTATTGCTCAGGACACTTCTTCTGGAGTGCTATGAAGACTCCATCTACAATGAGGGGAGGAGTACAGAAGAGATTTTTCCTTTTTCTTACCTGAACAACATGTGAAAGGAGATTTTTCAATTGTTTGAAGAGCTGCTGGGGTAGGGTACAGGCTGTACTTCCAGTCTCAAAGTCTTAGAGTTCATGGAGGTCTAGAGGAATTGCCACTGCTCACATCCTTGTATTAAGCTGAATGCCTAAATAATAACTTTCCCTTTAGTTGGCATTCCAGGGACTGACTCTGGGCATACTCTGTACTGGGTAGAAAATTGGCTGGATGGCTGGGCCCAAAGAGTGGTAGTGAGTGGAGTTAAATCCAGTTGGGGGCCGGTCACAACTGGTGTTCCCCAGGGCTCAGTGTTTAGGCCAGTTCTCTTTAATATCTTTATCAATGATCTGGACAAGAGGATCAAGTGCACGCTCAGTCAGTTTGCAGACGACACCAAGTTGGGCAGGAGTGTTGATCTGCCTGAGGGTAGAAAGGCTCTACAGAGAGATCTGGAAAGGCTGGATCCATGGGCTGAGGCCAACTGTGTGATGTTCAGCAAGGCCAAGTGACAGGTCCTGCACTTGGGTAGCAACAACCCCATGAAAACTACAGGCTTGGGAATGAGTGGCTGGAAAGCTGCCGGGTGGAAAAAGACTTGTGGTGTTGGTCAACAGCTGGATGAATGTGAGCCAGCATGTGCCCAGGTGGCCAAGAAGGCCCATGGTATCCTAGCCTACATCAGGAATAGTGTGGCCAGCAGGACTAGGGAAGTGATTGTCCCCCTGCATTCAGCACTGGTGAGCTTGCACCTTGAACCCTGTATTCAGTTTTGGACCCCTCACTTCAAGAAGACATTGAGGTGCTGAAGCATGTCCGGAGAAGGGCCACAAAAACGGCAAAGGGTCTAGAAAACACGTCCTGTGAGGAATGGCTGAGGGAGCTGGGGGGGTTTAGTCTGGAGAAGAGGAGGCGGCTCACGGAGACCTCATTGCTCTGCAACTCCCTGAAAGGAGGTTGCAGAGAGGTGGGTGTTGGTCTCTTCTTCCAAGGGAAAAGATACAAGAGGAAACGGCCTCAAGCTGCTCCAGGGAAGATTTAGATTGGCTATTGGGAAAAATTTCTTCACCAAAAGGGTTATCAAGTACTGGAATGGGCTGTCCAGGCAGGTGGGTGAATTCCACTCCCCTGAGGTATTTAGGTGATATGTAGATGTGGTGCATAAGGACATGGTTTAGTGGAGGGTGTTAACAGTTGGACTTGATGATCGTAAAGGTCTTTTCCAACCTAAACAATTCTATGCCTATGTCTGTCTGTATCTCTAAATCTTGACAAACTGCCTCCGAAAGCTTGAGTAATTGAGGTTGTGCTACTGGTATCTGGGAACTCATATTCTTCCCTACAAGAGCACCCACAAAAAGTTTTATGAGATCAGTGCCAGGATACAGCAGATTTCTAGGGGTCCTTGTGTGTCATTGAATTAGGGCTTCTGTCACCCACAGACATCTCAGTAGCTTTTATTTTAATCTCTAAATTAGCACTGATGGGACAGCCCTGATTCCCACCTGTATTCTTAGTTATACAAATATGTTGGATGTTGCACTGGAGCTACCTAATTTTTCCACGTGATCGAGGTGCGACCTGTTGCCGGCAGAGCTCTACAGTGTAGTCAAGAAGGTCTCAAGAAATCAAGTCAGCTCGTCACGGGACCAAGACAAAAGCCATCCATCTCACGACTTTCCTGTGGCAGATTCACCAAAGGATCATATGTTTTGCAAAGAGGTCTTTGGCGTTGAACACAAGAGCTGCTGTCAGTCAGGGAAGCACTGCTTGGAAGTAGTGATTTTATTTAAGAGATTTGTGAAGAAATCCCTTGGCAAGTACTGGGGGACCTCTCAGTGACATGCAAATATTCCTGTGCCTTGTAGGCACGAGGCTAAAAGCCTCTCCACTAGACTAATGTATTGCTGGAGTTTGCTGTCGCTTCCCCTTCGTGGATATCACTTCACCCTTTCCCGTCCCTTGCTGTCAGCGACCACCTCTGACAGCCTTGGAAATGCTTCGATTAAGCGCTGTGGCAGGGAGGTCAGGCAGTCAGAAGGGATAAGGACCAGTGCTTGGTGATGTGTGAACTCGCCTTCAGAAAGCTTGATGCTCCGAGGGGAAGAAGGGCTGCCAGGGACCTGACATGACGAGAGCCCTCGTTGCACCAAGTCCTCATCTCTAATTGGAGTGCAGGACTGTCAGCTCCTTTATTTCGCTGAGCTGTCAGTTGGAAGGGATCCTGGGAAAAACGGTCACAAAATCAGGATGGAGCATTGGAGAAAAATGTCAGGGTGAGGACTGGGATTTGAGACGCCCTCCTGGTTCCCCTTCCCCTCTCCTTGCATTTAGGGAGACCTAATTATTGCAGCCCTCCAAGGCTTTATTCTTACTCCCTACCTCCCCAGCTGATTATTTGTGTTATTATTACAGCTGCTCAGACTGTTTGTCACAAGAGCAACTTGCTATCAGGAAGAAATCAGAATTGATTAAATTAACACATTACAGGTTTAATTTAGAAATAAACAGGACACAGGGCTCAGAGAAAACCCAAATGTCCTGCTTTCAATTTTGAATTTGAAATACTTTTTTTTTTCTTTTTCCCAAATGTTCTGTGTTTTGGGATGTACAAAACAACATTTTTTGCAAGTCAGAATTGATAGAAAAACATATGAGGCTGATCAACAAGACTGAAATTTTTCCAGGAAGGCGTTGTTTCCTGGGAGACTCTGAAAGGCAGCATCAGTTTACTTCTGATGCAGAAGGAAACCATATTGCAGAGAGTACAGGCATGTAAGTGAATTACTGAAGGGTTAGCTGGGTTAAGAGCTTTGAGAAAGTCCTCACTCTGTTGTGGTTGCCTGCATGTGGCAAAGGCACGGTGGTTTACTGCTGAAACAGGATTACGTCATCGCACATTTTCTCCAGGGTACTGCAATGTCAAAGCATGCAAACTTTCCGTGGCGTTGCTGACACAGTGTAAATTTCCGTCCTGCCTTGCCCTGAAGTACCTAGTTTATGTGGCCATGGTCTGAATTGCTGAATTCTCCACAAAATGGAAATTTCAGCTCCAGTGCTTCTGTAACGGTTCATGACTGTCGCAGAGTCACAGCCTGGTTGAGGTGGGAAAGGACCTGCGGAAGCTGTCTGGTTCAACCACCCTGCTCAAGCAGGGATGCCTGGAGTTGGCTTCCCAGGGCCATGCCCAGACTGCTTTTGAATGTCTCCAGGGCTGGAGATTCTACAACCCCCCTGCTCAAGCTGTGTCAGTGCTTGGCCACCCTCACAGTGAAAAAGTGTTTCCTTCCTGCCTTTATGGTCAAACCTAAAAATCCCTGTTGGCAATACAGACAACACGTCATGCTCAGGTCTGAGGATGAGACACGTGCTTTGCTTGTTTTCTACACCAGGTTTGTCAGTATGGGGGTGTCAGTGTGCAGGGACATCTGCCTGTGAATGTAAAGTGCAGTAGAAGCATCGTGGGGACACCTGGAGCATATTCATATTGTTTAAATGAGAGATGGGGTTCATATTCCCAGTGATGTCTCTACCCAGATCAGGAGTTGGATGGTGAAGATATGGTCAAGGCAATCAATGGAGTTCAGGATGTGATTCATCTGATTGAATGTAGATGCCTCATCCTGGACTCCTTTGGATCTCCAATGACTAGAAATGTCATCAAGAGTGACTGGCTCTGTGGTAGGCACCAGTGTGGTAGACATCAGCACTTAGAAGAGGCCCCTCCAGCTCTGCAGGCACCAGGTAGTTAAGGAGCTTAAATTCCACACTGGTCAGTGGAGAAAGAAGTCCATCTCAGGTTACATGGTGTGAGGGAAAAGGAAAAAGCTGGTTTCCAGAAGAGGTACCACACACCAAGCTCAGCTCATTCCTTAAGAGCATCCACTTAAGGACCACTGTGAATTCCCGTGTTGCTGCTCTGTCGCAAAATTTCCCCATGGCAGCAAGCCCAGGAGAAGAAACGTACTGCACTCCTAGGCCTGACCTTCCAGTAGGCACAGTTAGCAAATGGGCGAGGGACAATTTCCACTGCTTCTACTCTTCTTGCCTGAGTGAGTAGGACAAGAGCATCATCTGGCCCTCAAACTAATGCAACTGCTGCCAGGTCCTGGTCTGAAACAGAACGCTGTTATGAATGTTGCATGCATTCCTCTGTCGACAGTCAAATGCCATTCTACAGGCAGACCCCCAGGCAAACAACTGTTTGTGAAAGTCTAGGAGAAACAGGAAGCAAAACTTTCTTGCTGTAAAATCTGAGACTTGAGGGTGTCACCTCCCAAGGTTAACTCTGCAGGCAAAGAGAAGAAGCAAACATGCACCCCTCAGTGATGCAAGCCACTGGGTAACTTTCTTTTCTCTCTTCATTTTCCAGCTGCTGGCTGTCGTTAGAGGGAGGTCTTCTCTATGCCTTCGTGGGACCGGCGGCTGCTGTCGTTTTGGTATTTAAGCTTGGCTGAAAGTCTTTTTTTTTCCCCTCTATCTTATAGCACTTCCCTCATTCTTTCAACCCAAGAATGCCCCTCTTTATTTCCACTCATGTCTTGAATAGCTTTCTCCCTCAGGAATAAAGAGGAAAGTGTTAGAAGCCAGCAATTTGGGATGGGTTTGATTTTGAAATATAAGATGCTTCAGATCTCAGCCTTCCACCTCTGGTAGTCCCCTAGATATCTGATTAATGCTTTACCTTTGTTTTGCCCTATCTGGATGGGAGTGCAGGATGATGGTGGAAAACTCTGACATTAACTCCTTCAGAAACTGCTGTTTCTGGTTCCTCTCAGACCAGACTGGGCCTCCATAGCCAGCATTTATTCCTGGTGCACGTGAGCAGCTTCCTTGTGTGCAGGTGAAATGAAGGTCCTCACATTAGTGCTGAGGGTTTCCTTTGTGGCCCTAAAAATGTCACATTTGCTTCTAGTTGAAAGAGACAGCATGGTTAAAGTGAATATTCTGATACTCTGTCCCACCTGCTCATGCATGGTGGGAGTCTGTTCTCCTGTCCCCACGCCCTTGGCTCTAACACAGCACCAAAGCCAGTCCTGGACAGTTATTACTTGAGTTGAAGGTGTCACTTGAAGAGATGACATACCTTTCATCAAGCTTCCCTGCTGTTCAAGCCTCACTGGCCATGAGAAATCTTGACTGTCAAGGTTCAAAGAATTTGAGAACTGCCAGTCCTCTAGGAAATCCCTCCTGCAGCATTTTCAGACAAGTATAATGCCACATTTGAGCCCCTACGTGTGACAGGCTGCAGTTACTCTCCACACCAGTGTTTTATCTGGTGGAGAAGCTGTATGTCCTCGGAGGTTCAGGTGCCCTGGAGGGTCCCCCAGGAACGGGGTTGTTGACAATTTCTTTTTTGGATCAGACTTTTGTTTCAAACAGTGTCTTTAGTGTAGGGCTGCAACGCATAGCTCAGCCTTCAGACAGCATTCGGCAGAGTGGGGATAAGCAGATGTTCATGCCAGCCAGTCATTAGATGTCTGTAGGCACGTGATAGCTGGATTTCCCTCAGTAATGTAGCTGACAGGGGTCAGGGTCTTCTTTACAGCCAGGATAATTGACAGGAGTATTAAGTTGCTTAGTGCTTTCAGTTGAACTAGCTCTTTGCCCCCGCAACATAACAGCCAATAGCTCTGGCTCAGCGGCTTGAATGCTCAGTAGACAGCAGTGATTAGGGGGGAGTGAGCTTTGGTAGTGCCTGGAGAACGGGATGTCTGTCTGCTGCCTCAAGCCATCTTGCTTTTGTTGTGCCAGCAGCAAGGGAAGTAATCCTTCAGCTTTCCTTAGCTTTTTTAAAGTGTAAGAAAAGCACGTGAACCTGCTTGCACTTGGCATCTTGCTTTTCATTCACCGTCAAAGCTGGAAAGGGAGATGTCTTTACAGAGAGGTCAACACCTGCCAATGGTGGTTCATACAGCTGATTTTAAGAAGTAGCAAATCATCTCTGGGGTGTCTGTCCCTGTTCAGTACCGAGAGATGGAGCCTACACGCCTAGTTTAGAATACCTGACTCATTGCTGGCTAAAGTGAAAAGTGCTGCCTGAGGTGCGTATATCCTGAGGAGCTTAGGGGAGAAAGAAGCAGCATGGGAAGCTGTTTTATAAATGGGAGTCTGGGAAACAGTAAGCTCAACAAGTTGCCCAAATTCACTCATGACTGCAGCAGAGTGAGAAGTTGAACACACAGCTCTCAAGCATGCACTATCCACAAGACTGGACAGCTGTCTCTTCTCCATGTGCCCTGTCTTGATTTCAGGCTGACCATGGCAGCAGTGGAGGGACATTCCACCTGGCTCAGCATGAGGACAGTCAGGATCTCGCAGGGTTTCACAGGGGATATACAGCTGTGCTGCTCCCAGGATAGGTTTTCTCCAGAGGCAATACAGCTGCTGTTGTGTAGGGATGCACAGATCAAGGTAGTACTTAACTGTATGCCTGAGCTCTTTCTCACCTAAAACTGATGAGTACCACATAGACACCCCCAAGTAACTTCGCACACAGCTGATGTAGCTCCAGCAGAGTTTATTACCTCTGCCTTAGCCCTGGCCAGGCTAGACTTGTCCTGACTTCTCCCAAGGCATTCAATCTCTGTACTGCAATTCTCCTATCAACATGATTTTTTCTATTACTTGTAGTAACTTTTTTCCTCCTTACCCTCACCACACTGGAAAAGGCCTTTGGCTTGGAGAATATCTTTACTCCAAATAATATACTTAAGTTGGTTGTCCTGCAGCTTCAGCAATATTTTCAACTTGCAGTCAGTCCACTAACACTGAGTGACTGCAAAGATTTGAGCCTTAAAAATCCTGGAAACCTGAAATGCTGACCTGTCACAAGCAGTTTTACTCACTTGACTCAAGTCAAGCAGCCTGGTGATAATTGTGTGCTGGTTAAAGGCAATGGGTTTCTGCAGGGAGAGTCTCATGGCATGATCAAGTCAAGACAGAGGGCCATCAGTCGTTAGGTACCAGTTATCTCAAGAGCTGAATCTCAGACCTGTGTCTTTGCTTTTGGATGGCATCCCAGAGATAAGGAAGTAAAGCTACACTGCATGCTATTAAGAGTGACTGTTTAGAAGCATGTCCACATTATACCCCTGACTTTGTAAAGAAGCAGAGCTATGATCAGAGCAGGATATTGGTCAGGCCAGTCAATGTATTAGATAAAATAGCTTTTCTTTATTAAAACAACTGCAGAGCTGCACTTTGTCATCTCCCCTGCTATATATGCATGAGGAATACACACTGTGTTGTGCCCAGTCGCAGGAGCGATCCAGCCCGCCACACTCCAACCCCAACTTTCCTACTTCCTTGCTGCATCTTAAAGAAAAGTCTGTCTTACACACTCCAGCCACTAGCACGGTGAGGAAGGATCAGTGAATTGAAAGTGCTCTCTCTTTCCAAGCACATAACTAGGGTTTGATTTCCTGCTGGATCCTTGGCTGGGTTACTGTGTCTGACTTGCCAGTGTTGTTTCCCTAAAACAATACCATGGTGTGCTCTAGAAATGGACTCGCAGCTGTGGAAAGTAGTCCACTGACCCAGCAGCTGATGCAAAAGTAAATAACTATTTGTTAAGATCTTCCATTTATTCCCTGCTGTGGATTTCA